TGGCACAGTTTCATTTAAAAAAAATCACACATTTTAAAGGAGGCTACTTTTCCCAGGTGGCAGTTTGTTCTTTTGGACAAGCCATGTTTTTGTCATTTCTCGGAAGCATGTCTTTTCCTTCAGAATTTGAATTCCTATAAGGCCCTCATCAATGTAGACTGATCGCTGAAATTCCAGGTGTTTACTTTCTGGTTATCATTCTGCTTTTTAGGACCAGGAAAGATATCTGCTTTGGGTACACATTATCAAGGGCTGCTGGCTGGTCTCCAGAAGAAGAATCACAAGAAGGGACGCAGGAGGGGACCTTGGAATGTGGGCTATCCCCATACATTGACATGAGAGAAGCAGAGAGGGTTTTTTCCCCTTGCAAAACATTCTTTACTGACCAAAGCATTTTCCAGACACACAAAAACCCAGAATGAGTCTTGGAGCAAGCAGAATGGTTCATTGAACCCAATCTCGTATTCACTTTCAGGAACTCTCTGCATGGACATGCTTGGGCCCCGTCCTTTTGGGAAGAACCTTATGAAAACAAAGCAGTCTCCTCTTTGCATGCCGGTCCTCTAACTGGTCTGCATTCCTTTGCTGATGACGCATCATTGATGTTGAAAGCAACCTTGATGGTTGGTTTGGCAAGTGTTCCCACAAGACACTAGTTGTGCTACTTTTGCTGATTCAGATTCTGAAGATGAATATTTCAGGATGACTGAGGAGCAGAAGATTGCCTTGGATACAACAGGGGGAAGAGTGAGAGGTGATGAGTTGAAGGGCAGAGGCAGTGGCCCGCCAGCCAGAGCCTGGAAAGAGTTTGGAGATACAGCTAATGGAAAGGGCTGCTGAGACTGGGGAATCCAGTGGTGATCACCCCGCTCCCTTTGGAGCTGGTCCCTGTGGCTAGGCATCAGCAGAGGAGAGAGGATCAATTAGAGGAGAAGCACATGGAAAAGAGGCATGCTTGCTTCCATAGGTTCATAAGGAGGATTTTGGGCAGTAGTCACTAGATTAGGTTCAACAAACTGCTTTGTGTATATTCAAAAAGTTGTCTGGATGATTTATGGTGGGAAACGGTAAAGAGAATTTTTCAAAGAAACAGCCTGAGGCTGGTGATTGACAGAGGGAGGAAAGATGGCTTGCAACAGTGGGGTCAAGTGTTGTGCCCACCTCCTCTGTCTCTAAGAAACTGCCCTGTTCCAAGTCCCTTCCTATCAATTGAACATCTTGGTTATTCCCTGAGATGGCCCTGCCCACCTGGGAAGTCTGGTCTTGAGGTAAGCGTCTCTGCTTCTCTCATTTCAATGCCTGGAGATGCCCCAAATTCCAAGGCCCACCTCCTGTGTCTCTTCTTCTGGTTCTTCTGGAGACCAGCTAACAGCCCTTGAGAATATGCACCCAAAGGAGCTCTCTGCCCCGCTCTGAGCACTGTCATTACTACTTGCAGAACGATAATCCCCAACCTCTCCTCATACCATTCCTCCACTTTATGGTAGACAGAAAATCCAAATAAGAAGCTGCCTTATATGAAATCAGATAATCAGTCTGATTACCAAGTCAGACCCTAGTCCATCCTGTTCATAGCTGTTTACATTAGTTGACATCGCTTTCTGGACATTCAACCAGATTGTTTCTTTCCTTTTCCCTTTTTTTTAAGGTCTTCATTATGAAAAGGCGAGATGAGATGTAACACTCACCCAGGTCTAGACAATTCTATTTTAGTGGACACTGAATGAGTGAATGAACTTATGATTACATCTCGGGAATATCATATTTCAGGTACTTATTGCAACTTACAGGTATGATCATGTAGAGATGACCCTAGGTATGCTCACCATAAGCATTCATATGATGGCGTATCAGGACTTATATTTCAACTAGTCTTAAGTATTTTGTGGGGGAGCAGAGTAGAAGGCTCACAGTAGCTGAGTTATAACTTGAGCTCACAGTTCTGTCAAATACTGAAGCCACATCAAATTGGAACTTGCTGCAGATTTCTATTGCCAAAGAACTATTTCAGAATCAAGGTGTCAAAATAACAGTTCTAAGGCTTATGATCTGAATTTTCAGAGCTACTTTTGAAGACATAATTCAAGAATATTGTATTGACACCTTGAAAGAGTTCTGGCTCACTGAAAATGCGATTCAGAAATTGCTATTTTGGCAGAAGAGTACCCCTGATGTATTCCTTTTGAGGTTCTTCATCACCCATCCCATACATCATCTGTTAAATTATCCAGTCCTCTTTGTTTACAAAGCAGCCAATCTGCTGCATTTTTGCCTGATAGCATCTGCTTGTACACATGCCAAGGCAGCTATCTGAGGCACAGCAAAAATGACGGCATAGAATACATTAAACACAACATTCATTTAAAACAATGAATGTTATGATTGTATTATTCGAGTTCATAATAAATGTATTGTAAATTTCAAGTTTAGATGAAATGAAAAATTGCTTTACATAACTTTTGTTCCACTGGTGGGGACATTTGTAGACATTATGTGCATGTCTCAGATCTGTAGCAATCATGGGCAGTATAGCATTATATTTCTATTGGTCATTATTCATCCATCCCTTCCCAATGGTGAGATGAAGCTGGGATGGGAGCCATAATTTTGCATCCACATAGTGTGAACTTTTAACTATTATAAAAATAGTTACAATATTGACTTGGATATTCAAGAATGCTGCAGATTTGAGGCCTTCTTCCATAGCTGGCCAGTGAAATAGAGGTCCAGATTTTCATTTATTAAATGGAATGTGGGAATCTTTACTGTTATGGATTAAAATATACAAACATGGACAGAAAGATGCATCTTTCTTATTGCTGCAATTTCACTGCAAGGTGTCTATCGTTTTAAAGGAATATTTATACAGATTATGGATGCAGCAATTCAAGAACAAATCCAGCAAGTTTAAAAATCAAGAGACAGCTATCCTATTGTATAGAATGCTCTCCAAAGATATTCACTTTGTACCCCACACAACAGTTGTCACTACACCAGGTTGATGGCAGAAGGAAGAGCCCTGCAACTAGATGTGTGTTAAAATACTCTATATTGAAGTTTTATTTTCTGGGTTTACCCAATTTGCACCCCTCCTGATGAAAATGGAATTTGCAGTCTAAAGTCCATACATTTCCAAGTTTGCAATATATTCACCATCCACACATTTGCAAAACATTTTTGACAATATGCACACATTTGGAAAATGTGCAAGGAAAAATGCGCACAATTACAAAATGCATCAAAAGAGGTTTTAGTCAATGGCTTAACAAACCTCCCCCCATGCGTTGGTTTAAAAACGTGAGTTTTCATATGAATTTTTCTGTTTCTGTTTTTATTTTTGTTCTGTTGTGTATTTTTTTACAAAATTGCAAGTTTTGTAAGAGCTTGGTAAGATTGAGACTGATATTTCAATCCATCCCTAGATGCAACTGGATGGCTGACATGTATCATGCTTGCTTATACAGCCATAGCAGGTGGCAGCAATTGAGACAAGAGACCCACGGCGGCAGGAGGAGCCAAGAACCATGTTTGAAGCTGTGCCTTAGACTGAGCCAGAACACTGGTCTATGGATCAGTATTGCTTCTTACTGACTGATAGATCTACCAGATTTCCAGTGGCAGTCTTTCCCATCAGAAAACATAAAAGGAAATAAAACCCAACAGCAAAACTGAGCAATCAAGGTAGGACATACAATATAAAGTGAATAAATGAATATTTACAATTGCCTTTCAAAAGGTTACTGCTACAAAAACTGAAAGCAAGCAGCTTGGTCAGAAAAGAGTCTGTTCCCCTCACCCTGCACTCACAGTCTGAATTTGAATTCCCATTCAAAGCTGAGAACAACCCAGTCTCAACCATCAAGCTGGGAAGATGCTGCTTCTCCAATTCTTCCTTCCCTTTCCCAACATATTGATTACACTGTGAGCTTGCAGATACTCTTATCTTTTGGTATCTGTGCAACACCTAGAAAAATTTAGGTGCTTTATAGCTAAAGTATCATCTTCTAGCATCCATAACAGCAGCATAATCTAGATGTCTACATGTTCATATAGTTAAACATAGTGGCTTAGGAAATTCTTTTCCGGGAAGGCAAGCTCTGCCTTCATAGTGCCACTGACAAACATATCTGAACTTCCATCAAATACTCCCCCAGGTGGGCCACTGACATTCCTTTCTTTTAAAGTCTGTGTGATTAAATGTTCGTTCAATATATTATAAAAAGATCTAGAGTTTTGGGCTGCAATCCAAAACACATCTACAAAGGGTTAAGCCCCATTAAACACAGTTGCACCTATGTGGAAGCAGGCATCTGATTGCAATCCATGCACTGGGAAACTGCTCTAAAGAAGGGGAATCATGACAACAAAGCCACCAGACAAACACAGCCAGCTTCTGCTTCCAGCTCACAGAATTGGCTTTTCCATTGTTCACCTAGAAAGAATAATCTCTGGAACGTGCAAATCCCAGAGTCCAGGATCCTTTGTCTTTAGGTGAATAATAATCATCCTAAAATGGTTTGTAAATTTACATATTTCCTTCTAGTTCATGGATGAATCATTCAAAAACCTGACTGCCAAGCTACCGGTCTGAACAGTTACAAAAACTGTTACAAAAAGTTACAAAGATATCCCTGAATGAAATTAAACAATGTGATAGTACAACATCAATTAAAATTAAGACTCTGCAGGAGTATTACAGGATGACCTCTACGCCATACATATACACTAAGATACATAAAAACAAGAAAACCTGGTTCACTACACTCGCCCTATTAGTTCTAATCTTATTCCATGCTACTGACCACCTTCACTCTCTGCATTTTCCCACAAGTACAACAAAAAACGGGGAAAAGGCACCTTTATTCCCTCTGATTCAAATCACATCCCTCCACTATCTCCTGCCGCAAAGTGCAATCTTGGCACAGTGTCAGAGTGGGAGGATACTGGCTGACTACTGGTAAAGATATAGCACTAAAGAGGCAATTAAAACAACTACTCACATCTTGTGCAAATATTCTCTCCCTCACCCTCTGATACTCCTCTTCTCTCTCTTCAATTGATTTACTTCGTCTGTCATCTCTAAATGGATGAATTCTGTTTTGCTGAGCATAAAAAAAAAACCAGGAGGATTATATAAGTTGAGCTGCTAAAAATTACAGTTAAGTAACTGTCAGCTGAGAATAATAAATGTTCACTTAAACAAATGAGGTATGAGAATGATGGGGCTGTTTTATTCCTAACGTGGTGTGTGAATCATGGTGTCATGTACCCTTCAGCATCAAGCTGGATGCTACAAGAGTATTTCGATTTTAAAATGACTTTGGGGGCTCTTTGCAGTCATCTAAAGTTGCCTTATATGGATTGAGCCTTTGGTCCATCTATCCTGTCACACAAAAAGCTGAGTCAGACCATTGGCCTAACAAGCAGCTGTTCTCCAGGATTTCAGGCAGGTGTGATTAAGCACTTACCTGGAGACTCCAGGGACCATACCTGTACGAAAAGCGTGTGTGCTACTGCCAAGCTATGGCCCAGCCATACCATCTGTTCTCACTCTCTGGTACCCGTGTATATTGTTTTTAATTTTTAATGGTTAACTGTCGTGATAGCATTTGTTGGGCTGGAAGCTTGTGGCGTGTAAATTTAATAACAAATAAAATAAAGGAAAACCTTGCTCTCTGAGACTCCGTTAACCAGAACTGCCAGATATTGAATCCAAGACTATCTACAAAGCATGTCACATACCACTGAACTAGGACCTGTGTCCCCTCCATAAAATGGGATATGGTAATACAAGGATGGGTCTTTTAAATTGGTCTTTGTGAATCTGCCAACTAGACTAAAGATAGGTTTGTCCAACAGATTTGTTCATCTTTCTTGGAGAGAGATAGCACTGGAGATGAAACTATTGATCAAGTGAAGGAAAAGAATGTGGAAAACCAATTAACATTAAAGGCTGAAAAAGCCTAATTGATGATGAGGATAAATGTTTTGAGAATATTGTGCACAAGAGTTTTAATAATTTCGGTAGTGACTGTTAAGTCTTTACTGGAAGTAAGAGAGAGAAATAAAACTCAAAATCCAGAAAGCAATAAAACACATTAAGGTGTTTAAAGGGGAAGAACCACTCTGCATAAAGCTTCATATTTGCAGTTAGCCTCCAGCTGCAATGCCCTTGATTCCTTAGCCACACTGTATTTTCCCCCACATTGCTGTGGGTCCTTCTCACAACCCCTGCCTCAACCTTTCTTTTACATCTTTCAAAGACAGCTGTGAGACCACGTAGCTAGGAAATCAGTCTAGTACTGTGGAAGAAAATGGGGGAGAAAAGAGTATCTTATTAAATGCATGAGGCAGAGAGGCACTCTGGTTCCAAGTGACTCATTACAATTTACCACAATGCCAAATTCCAAATGTGAATATACATATTAGCTTACCTTCATGAGCATTCTTATAAAAAGCTCTTCCAGCATCAAACCCCTTTTTGTGTTCTCGCCATTGTTCTCAATGTCTGCATGAATTTCTATTAGATTTAAAATGTTCTTTTGAATAGAACTGTGCCCCCCATTTGTGTTTTATTTTAATAAAAGGCAGTTAAACTAGCCACTTTCAGGCACATCTATATATTAGCATGTCTCATACTGATCTTTTTAAGAATGCAGAATTAAATGACAAGCAACACACAGAGGAGACAGTTTCTGCCACATACATGCAAAAACGAGCAAATAAGCTTTATTTACAATAAAACGGGATGGCAGGAGGATCTGAAAAATTAAGCATTCTCCCCCCACCCACACGCACCCAAGTGAAAACTCATCTGTGAATGAGCAGCCTGGTCTCACTGTAACATTTCCCCCTTCATTGATATTTTCAATCCGTTGATCTCCAACCAGCTTGGTATGTATGTAGAAACTGGAACAAATGCAACAGAGCCCTAGAGACATTTGCCAAAATGTAGCTGACAAAAGTTCCCCATTAAGGTATGGGCTTTTTGAACATTGCAAATTGCAGCTCCGCATGCAGCATTTTCTGCGCCAAGCAAAATTGCCCATGCAAACTGCCATTGCTAAAACAAACACACTTAGGGCTTGATGCTATTCCACTATATGCCAAAAACTTGGAAGAAGGAGCAGGAGAGGGAGAGACACAGGAGCAGGAAGGGAAAGCAGCAGCAGCAGCAACATCAACAAAAGAACATCAGTCAGACCACTTCCAAAAAAGAAAAGGAAAAAAAGAACAAATTTCAGCAACTCTCGGACCGAGAACCAACCTGATTGTCTTCTTTATCAATACTAGAGTTATCTCGCTTCAAGATAAATCGCTTCTGGGATTCTTCACCTTTGTCATCTTTTAAATGGTCAGAAAACCTTTGCTCTGGTCTGCCAGCAAAGTAAAACATATCAATAACAATCCACTTTGTTTTGTTTTTTTAATTTGTCAGCACTCTTTTCTTAATGGAAGCATTTTCTGCAGAATTAGACTAGAGTTGTGGTTGCTGATGTTGGTACCAATATATGGCATCTGTTCCAATGCTGCTGTTATTGCTATAAATACATTTTGCTATTGTGTAGGTGGAAAGTTGAATTTGAATGACCAGCCATTGCAATGTTCAGTCTCTCTTGACAGTGACTGAAGGACAAGAAAGCAAGCCAACATAGTACATGTTAATTTGCTTTGCTAATCATCATGATTTCAGCAATGCTGCAATTTAGTAAAGCTTAAATAGATTGATAAGCAAAGACCAACTTGATGCAGATCTTTTACAGATCTTCTCGACCCATAATATGCTGAATTGGTAATGGTGGATCAGAGTTATTTTCTTTAAACAAACAAGCTATATGCAGTTGTATTAAATTGGAAAAATTGTCAGAATTTATTTCAAATCTATCTTGTTGGTTATTAAATGGCTAGATATTACCAGCTAACAGTCTCGTATGTATAGGTTTAGAGGCTGATAAATTGCTGCGTGCTCTTTTATGACCCTGTTCAAAAAGATATGGAGAAAAGTGTCTCTTTACATTTGACATAATTGCAGGCTTAGGGAACATTTTAATCCCCAGGATATTGTGAATCTTAGTCTGTTATTAACATCCCAGATTTTGTATTTTCTGCCAAAGCTTCATTAAGCAGTAAAAAGGGAGAAAAAAGTAAAGAATGTCATGTTGTCACAGTGTGTATTTTGGTAATTCAGGCACTTTTATAATATGCAAGAAAAAGTGTGAACAGAAGGGCTCTCTCTCTACTCAGGGTATATGCGTTATTTCCGCAAGCATTCACAGGAGAGAGACAGGACTGTTAAGGAAAGAACTGAGAACCTGAAGTTCATACAAAGCCCAGTAATGCATTCAACAGTGGGCTAATATCCTGTGAACATGAGTGGTGTGATAAAAGTGAAAAATGGGAGTAGACTTGTTGGAAATGACCATTTTACCATACTTTAAAACTTCACACCTTTCAAAGAAAAGTCTTCTTCCCATCCATCCTTGCACACATACAGTTTAATAGTGACTCCAAGGTAAGTATATGAAGCACCACCAAGCAATGAAGCAAAACTGTTTTGCTTCAGTAAGATGCTTTGTTCTTTGCTCCACTGCTTTTCTCCACTGCATATATTAGTGTGTATACTTTTTGGAGGTACAGGCTGGTTTATTTTTTGCTGATGCAATTCGGCAAGGCACCATATACACTCTATAATAAATAATCTTCATGTGATATTTATAATTAAGGCAAATGTAAAGTGGTATAAGTTAATGCATGCATGCCAACCACTGACTATTTTGACTCTGGGATTAATTAGGCCATTTTGTAGTGCTGAAGCCAAATCTTAAACACATCCCAGCCCACACGATTATTGTAGTTTATTACATTAGGAGTCCTTGATGCAACAGTCAAAAGGCAGCTAATATTCCTGCCATTTGCTTTCATCTGTTCTCATTTGGAGCAGCAGCCATTCACATTACATTCTTGCTTAGTGTTTTCTTTTTGTCAAAGGAAGCTGAGTTATGTTTTATTTCAGTTGCCAATAGTCAAGTTTAAACATGATATGCCCAGCTCTTTAATGGCAGCTGTGAATATTCAAGGCTAGCAAAAGCCAGTTTCTAACGAATGAAGAACACATTTCTTTAAATGCCTGAAGTACCTAGTTTCCTTTCCTAGGCAGCATTCTTGTGAGTGTATCTATACATTCTCCTTACCTATAGACTTGTCACATTTATGTACACTGAAAAATATTGTAATATGGATTCATAGGGGTAATCTTATGAATTCACTCCCATGAACAGAGTATGCAGCAAGTCCAAACTGTGCTGAAGGTTGGGCCCAACTTAGTTCACTGATGTCACCATGGGACCTCACCCCTATAGCTGTCCTCTTCCCATGTCCCTGCCAGCAAAAACTGGGAAGCTTCACTAAAGGCACCTCTTTCTCCTGTATCTGCTACCTCAACACTTCACTAGCCATATGCCAGTCACATGGAGTGCTCAGAAACACAGTTCTTTCAGTGAATTCTCAGTACGGACAACAGGCAACTTGGAAATTAACTGTTATGGAAATTAAATGAAGATGTTGTTTCAGGTCCAAAGTCCAATTTGTCAAGGTCCAATGTTCAAAATTGTATAGAGTGAGAGTGGCTCAGGCAAAAATAATCCTCAACACTTTGAAAAATTTGCTTTAGAACATCACAGCCAGATTCAAGTCAAGGAGAACTCAACCGATACCAAAAACTTGTGGCACCTTCAGGTATACAGTCTTCCACCAACACTAAAACACAGATATTTTACAAAACTGGTTGCATGTAGGCCATTTGGGCTTATGCACATTGGAATCTCCATGTGCAGGTGTCACAAACATGTTGACTGGGATCACACAAGACAACAATGCACACTCACAGTTGGGTATGGCTGAGCGAACTGTGGGTCACTGTTGAAATCTGAGTGATAACTTTGTGAGAATCCAGTGATGTTAACAAACCATGGTTAATTATTTAAAACACTGCCAAACACAATCAACAGCAATATAGTTTGTCTGTCTCTTCCATTTAAACATACAGAAATAGAAATAAGAACCATGATGGATCTTTTGAAAAGTTTAGAACAAACTTTAGTTCCAATTCAATTCTACCAATATATGTGGTGAATACACACAAAACACTCTCTAATTCCCCTCTTGAAAAGCATAGATTACCAATCTTATAAAACTTTCAGAGTTCAAGTAGCAAGCAACTTGAATAACAGAAATTAGTTTGGTTCCCTATGTCATGAGCCACTAATGTCCACTAAGTGCCATTTAATTTAGCAGAACTACCTAGAAGAAAGGCAGGTCTCTAAGTAAGTATCAGATTTAATCAGTTTGGAGTTTTATTTAGATTTTGGACAGATGGATTTATCACTTCACTTCTAAACTATAAATCTACTGTTATGTGCTATTATTTTCAGCTCCAAAAACACTTTAAACCCTTCTTCAACTTGATGACCCCTTAGTCTAATTTGCCAGGCACTACACAAGCATAAAACATCAATATGTTTTATATCTGAACGAAATTAAAATTAAAGAAGCAGCAAAGCATTAATCCATCTTCAAATGGAAGCTCAGTGAAATCTAAACTCTAAAAATCACTCTGGTTTCCTGCAGATTAACAAAGCAATAATGATTCTCTGTAGTGCACAGAAGCTAGCCTTTATTTTTAGCTGTCTGACCTTCAAGTCTATTTATTACAACATGTAAGCAAAACATATCATTTCTACTCTCAGAGTTAGGTAAGTCTAACCATAAAAAGAAAAGTCTTTCTGCAAGAATAGAATGACTGGGAAAACATCTTCTAAGATGTAGCCTGGTCCTTCATTTTTTAACTATGCTTAAATTCAAATTACATTTAGCTCATCAAACACTGCAAGCATACATTACAACTTGAAAGACTTTTATTTACATAGTAGCTCTCAAACCCACACGCAGATGTACTTCAGTACACTGACTAAGAGTACATTTTATTCTACAAGTTTCTGTTCCACATGCACCAGCAGGCTTCCAATTCTTCCTGTAAGAAAATATAACTATATCCAAAGAAATCTGCATATACAGACTGTTTCACATATCCAGGTGTACCATTATAGAAGTAATTTTCATTTATCCTCATTTACGAACCTGTACATCATGTATGAAAAAGCACCTGCTATATAGAAGTGGCCAGAATTTGGAAGAAATCAGAGAATTATATAGAAGCATATATACAGTGTTTTAAAGGCAGATGTTGTAGAATGTAGACTAAATGACTTTCCAAAATTAAGACAAGTGCTATGCAAGTCTCCCTGAGTGAAACTAAGACTTCATTAATATATGCATGTGTTTTCTTTTCTCTTTTTCTACTCATTGCAGAGGAACTCAGATGTTCCTCCGCAGCTTAGGAGTGCTCCTCGACCCTGAGCTATCTCTAGAAGCTCAGGTGACGGCGGTGGCGAGGAGCGCCTTCCTTCAGCTTCGGCTGATACATCAGCTGCTTCCCTTCCTGGAGAACGACTGCCTGGCGACAGTGACACATGCTCTGCTAACTTCCTGATTAGATTTCTGTAATGCACTCTACGTGGGGCTACCCTTGAAGACGGTCCAGATACTTCAATTGGTGCAGAATAGAGCTGCCAGGTTGCTGACGAGGACTGGGCGTTATTCTCATATAACCCCAGTTCTCTGTCAGCTCCACTGGCTTCCGACTGGAGTCCAGGCCCAATTCAAGGTCTTGGTTATGACCTATAAAGCCCTAAATGGCTTGGGACCTGGATATCTAAAGGAACGCTTGCACCCATATATGCCCTCCTGCCCCTTGAGATCAGCAACGGATGCCCTTCTCCGAGAACCCTCTGTGAATATTAGGAGGGTGAGTACCTGGAGGAGGGCTTTCTCTGCGGTGGCACCCCATCTATGGAATGCGCTCCCAGAGAGGTCCGCCTGGTGCCGTCGTTATTTGTTTTTTGGCACCAGGCTAAGACCTTTTTATTTCAAACTTATTTTAATTGCTAAATTATTGAATTAATTAGGATTTTAAAATTAGCCAAGAATGCACCGGGGGTTTTTAAATGTTTTTTCTTTTAAATTATTATATTATTATCATTTATGTATGTTTTTATGTATTTTTTGTGAGCCGCCCCGAGGCTTTGTTGCGATGGGGGCGGCATAGCAATGTAATAAATAAATAAATAAATAAATAAATAAATAAATAAATAAATAAATAAATGTGATTACTCCCTGGAGATAGACTGTGTGCTGTGGCATTACTCTAATCCCATTTCTGTTTTGGAACCCATTTCTGCCCTAGAAGGAGAGGGAAGTGGGCAAGAACATTATTAGGTCCCAGTTCAGTGGCAGAGACACAGCAGCCACAGTGCGTATG